ATATATATATATATATATATATATATATATATACTCCATATATACTCCATCACCATTGTGTTACCTCCATCGACAATAGAAGGTGACCTAACAGACGTTTATTTGAATTAAAATCTTCGAGATTGCCACTTCAAACACTCGTTTCCATGTAGACAGCTTCGTGAACAGCTGTCATATATGCGTGTGAAATGGATCTTTTTCTGTGTAATCCTGATGAAAATTTAATTGCGATTCCTTACAGTGATTGTGAGATTGTTGATAATTCCAGGCCCAGATAAGTGAGGTGATAAGACTAATGCCAAATGAGGAGCGATGCCATGAGAAAGAAAGTGGCTGAAAGCTATCGATCTAATCTCAATCAGCCCTCATCTCAGTTATCTATCCGTCAATCTGAACAGCTTTTCAATTACGTCCCGGGCTGTGCTGGTGCTCTTATACCTTCCAATGAAATCAGATAAGACAGAGAAGAACATTTGCTTAATGTCTCTCCAACTTTGTGAGTAGCATATCTTTCTGAAATATCTTTTTGATGAACTTAGCCACTCAACATGAACAGTGTGAATTATTATTAATTATCCAATTTTACAGCCCTTTGTTAGCATAATATGATTTTTAAAGTAATTTATTTTAGCAAGAAACTAAATCTTTCATTCTAACCCTTGCATATTGTATGTAAGTTTTTGGCTGTGATAGTGTAATATTATTAATATCTGGTGGCATAGCAGAAGATGCAAATGCGGGAGTGCTAGAAGCACCTTTTCCTATTTCATCTTCGTTTAATTATTACTCTACCTTGGCTCCAGTTTGGTTTCTATTACTGTAAATGTTTGCTTTTAATCCCGTTCGTAGGCATTGAAAGTACAGGAATGGTTTTGTAACAGCTACGATAAGAAGTACGAGCACTGGCTTCTACTGTGTACCTGGAAGAAAGAAGCTGCTGACACAGGATGTATGGACGGAGAGAGAATAAGTGCTGATCGTAGCCAACTTTAGCAATCTTGTGCTTTTTCAATGCAAACGGTAAGCGGCACTCCTCCCCACTCACTGATGTTGTGCCTCCGAGATGTGGCTGCTCCATTTGACTTTTATATTTGATCAGTTCAACTATTCAGCTATAGCAGGCCTGAGGGGGGAAAAATAAAAAATTCCCTTTTGGGAGTCGAGTGGAGATGGAAAGAGGAGGGAAGTGGATCGGTTCTCCCTTCATGCCCTGTTCAAAGAAGAATGTCCTGAGAGGCCTTGGGATTGCTTTTTGGCTGCAGATGGAGAATGAAAGAAGGTCAGACAGATAGTAAGAGCCAGTTTAAAGAATGGAGGCAGATAATGATGGAGGCCATGTTACACATCATTAAGTGTTGTGTGGTGTTTTCTTTTTCAGTAGAAGCAGAAATGCCTTTTATTATTCTTTCAACCATTTTTTTTCTCTCTTTTATTCCCTAATTCCTTTTCCCATTGCGCTAAGCATAGCTATTACTCACCTGCTATACCACTGACAATCTGACAAGCTTTTCTCCTCGGCTTAGTTCAGTCCTGATGGCAGGTGGCACCTTGCCTTCAGTGGGTGTGAATGGGCCAAGGACACGTAGTGTTAAAGCGCTTTGAGTGGTCGGAAGACTAGAAAGGTTATACGCTGTACAAGTCCTTTTACCATTCACCATTTAGCAAAAAGGTTTCTTTTATTGATATAGTCAACAATGCTCATAAAAAGACAGGAGTCTCCTGGATCATTTAACAACACAATTTATGTTATGGCCATCAATTTCCATTAGTCTTAATCAAAACAGCTCTTTAACAAATGAACAAACGCTGAGCTAATGGTATGAAACGGTATACACTCCCTGTCTCCTGAGTGGGCGTGGTCACGGCATCCATCAAATCTTTGTCGTGGTTTTGACCCCCAGATGAAGGCTTGATGCCGAGAGAGTTTGCCTTGAGGTCTAACACGACTGTGCCATTACAATAAAGGTATTTTAAATTGTTAAAAAAGCTTTGTTGTTGCAAAGTTGCGAACAAAAAAAGCATGCCATAGTTGCCGAATTCTTCCAATATTGACCCAGAATCCTAGAAACCAGATATTTTTCTATTGTAAGCACTAAGTTTATTGAAATTGAATGAATGGATCCAAGTCTGATGACTGAACCAAGAGAATATCTAACACACCTCCTCTTTTAGTCATTCAGAATGCACATTCAGAGGAAACCACATATTCTCTGTGACTGCACCCAGAAAATATGCATGAATGTAATATTGGATAGAAGAGATCAGATAGAATTCGTCTGTCAAATGTCACTGTGGGAAAAAAAATCTTGAGGCGACTCATGAAGATATATTGCCTTCCCAGAGAGACTGTGACGTTCAGAACGATTGTTAGTGAGATGAACAATAGACTCGAATAGAATAGAAAAGAGTGAGAGAAAAAGCAGCAGATAATGGTCCGTTCACGCACATCCAGATTTGATAAAGCCCACGGTGAAATAGACTTTGTCACACCTCACGTCAGAAACGGGGCTGGTGTGACGCACTCACGTCTGCACTCGGTATTAAAATATTCATAACAAGCCGCTATGTTTCACACATTATGTGTTCACACAGTAGCACATTGGCAATTTAGATAAACCTCCAGGAAATACACATCCCCGCAGGTCAGCCATGCTCAGGTTGTTGCACCAGTTGTTCATCGTTAGCATCGCTGCCGGTATGAAGAGTTTTGATCCCAAATACTTGCTGCTGAGTACTTTGAAACGAAACGTTTTGTCCTTACTGTGCTGATGTCTGCTTTTTTATCTTCTATTATTTGGCCATATTGCTCTATCATTTTGGCTAACAAGTTTTCTGCCGACCATCATGAGTAACATTAGGCTAACGAACTGACTTTTTAGCTCGATAGCATACAAACAATGCAACATTTTGCCTACTTACTAGGTCTACTAGGCTCTCCATATTGATTTTGATATTGAGTCTTTGTCACGGCAGAAAATCACGCCATTCTGTTCCCAGAACACAGCGTCTCTCAGCTGCGGTGGTTGGCAAGGAATGACAACAATTTATGATAATTTCTTTATTTCTATACATCTCTTTGTATCTCTTCTTCCGATCCTTTCAAGTCCCACCTCTCTTGCTTGCATGTTTTAGGTGCTGTTTGTTCTTGGAAAGAAGTGTTAGGGGAAAGCAATTGCAGCTAATGACATTAATGTGCAACATTTAAGTCCAGTCTTCTGATTCTGAACATTTGAAATAAATGTTGTTGTTTTTTTCCCGTCAAGGCTCAGTTGATATAATGCAACAGTAATTCCCCTCGCAGACAGTTTATGAGTGCAACTCCAGCTGACTGTCACGAATTACAATCATTTGCAAACTATTTTCATTGGCTGATATGTTTTCACTGCTGTGCAGTAACGTCTGGCTTCCTGCTGCATTGGAACGAACTGTTGCCAGTGAAGATAATGTGGGCGATATTATGTTTCCTTTAAAAACATATCAGCCAATGCAAATGAGTTGTATTACTGTTGGTGTTTTCTGTCCTGGTGATTGGGA